TTTTTTGTTAAAACCAAACAAGGCCCATGGACTAAAAGATTAGAATTCTAGTTCTCAACATCACTAAACTTAATTATCTCCAATAATAGGAGTAAACAATCGGCCCAACGACCCAACACAATTGCTGAAGAAAACAAACTCTTTGTTAAACAATAAATTAATAAATACATAAAAGCCAATAAGCCCACAACAAACACTGTAGCAGCTCAAAATAAAATGAAATAGAACAATTAAAGTAAACTAAAATAATTTCTAAGAAAAGAACCCTGAGACTCGAGGGTAGTCTAACCTGAGTAACGCGGGGCATTACAGACTTCCCCCATTAAAAAACTTTCGCCCTTGAAAGTTCATTGATCAAACAACTTAGGATAGCGGGCTCTGATCTCATCTTCCCTTTCCCAGGTAGCTTCCTCCACTTGGTGATTCCTCCACAGGACCTTCACCAAGTCAATCGCTCGATTCCTCAGCACCTTGGTCTCTTTTGCTAAGATCTCAATAGGTACCTCCCTATAGCACAAGGTTTCATCTAACTGCAGTGGTACGTGATCAAAGACATGAGAAGGGTCATGGACATACTTCCTCAGCATGGACACATAGGACAAGTTATGCACTGCATCCAACGACGGGGGCAAGACCAACTTGTAAGCGACTGGGCCAATGCGCTTCACGATCTCAAAAGAACCAATATACCTCGGACTAAGTTTTCCTTTCTTACCAAAACGTAGGTCTCCCTTAACTGGTGCCACACAAAGAAAAACGTGGTCGCCGACGCCAAAGTCCAACGCCCTTCGCCTAACATAAGCGTAACTCTTTTGTCTGCTCTGAGCCATCTGCATTCTAGCCCTAATCCTTTGGATGGCACCATTAGTCTCCTGCACCAACTCTGGTCCCAACAGGACTCTCTCACCGACCTCATCCCAATGCACTGGCTACCTGCACTTTTTCCCATACAAAGCTTCATATGGAGCCATTGCAATTGTTGCCTGGTAACTGTTGTTGTAGGCAAACTCTATCAAGAACAAGTGTTTGTCCTAAGAACCACCAAAGTGCAATATGCAGGCTCTCAACATGTCTTCCAAAATCTGATTCCGACGCTCAGTCTGACCATTGGTCTAGGGATGGAACGCTGTACTAAAATCGAGCTGAGTCCCAAGTGCTTTATGCAAACTTCGCCAAAAAGTTGACGTGAAGCGAGGGTCCCGGCCTTACACTATGGACACTGGTATGCCATGAAGTCTAACTATCTCCTGCAAATAAAGCTCCGCCCACCTTTCTACTGAATAAGTGGCCTTGCCTGGTATGAAATGAGCAGACTTTGTTAAGCGATCCACAATCACCCAAATCACTGTGTATCCTTTAACCGTCCTCGGCAAACCTGTGATGAAGTCCATGGCCATGTCGTCCCATTTCCAAACATGTATTCTTAAAGGTTGCAGCAACCCGGTGGGTTTCTGTCTTGAGGCCTTCACCTGCTGACACGTCAAACACTTACTAACAAACTGAGCAATTTCTCTCTTCATGTTGTGCCACCAATAGTGTTTCTTGATCCCTAGACATCTTGGTGCTCCTAGGATGCATTGAGAATGGGGTATTATGAGCCTCGGTTAGTAAATCCTTCCTTAAAGGGAAGTCTCTTGGTACGCACAGTCTTCCCTGATAGAGCAAAGCCGTATCTTCTAAAAGAGAGTAATCTCTTTGACCCACCATACCGAAACCTTTGATTAAGCTGGGATCTCCCCTCTATGCAGTGGTGATCCACTGTCTCAAGGTGGGTTCAACCGAGAGTCGAGCTAACACTGTCGAAACATCTTCCACTGCTAACTCCACCTCAGAACGGTCCAACTCATCTAATATAAGTCTATGAAGCTGTAACGCCCCCGAATTTTGATAACTTACATGAGAACATTACTAAACCTATGTGCTCCAAACTTCCTCCCAAAGCATAAAGGCAACTAAACGAACCTAGAAATTTCAGCTTTTCATTTGCTCAAGTTAGACATGTGAACACTATACTTTTCAAATGGACTAAACAACTTGTCCTTCATGGACAAACGATACCTAACTTTTTCGTTTAAGTCAAGTAGAGCCAAAACAAGTAAATAACGATAGACAAACAACCTATCCAACAGAAGCATAACCCTACAAGATAATAACAAATCAACCAAGTAAATAAAAAAAAAACCACCACTCTTCCACCACGCCACTCTAATAATAACACCAAAACCAAAACAATTAATCCATGCTTCAATCTTAAAAAGTTAGTGAATCCAACAACATTAAACATACTCCCTAAGCTTCTAAATGAAACCAATGACATAATCTTTACAAGAGTCCATACTTGAAAGAAAAGACATCTAAAACATTATACCAACCCCTGAACTTTACACAAATCGATACTCAAAACATAATAAATAAATGAAACCATCAAGACTCCTAAAGACCTATTTTAGACAAGTTAAAACTAAATGTAACCTAGTTATGGTCTTTCTTTTCGAGTCTCCACCGCACCATCACCATGAACCTGATCTTCACCTGAAAACAATAATTTTAGGGGGGGGGGTGTGAGTATTAAGAATACTCCGTAAGTAGTCCTCTCTAACCACACATAAGCAACATGCTCAGCACACGATATTCATTACGAAACATTACCCTGGCATCCATGCATCAATACATCATAACACTTTTTAATTCACACATTACAATCCACGTAACCCCAACCACAAATGCCCGCTAGTAGCCCTCTCTAACTATACACAAATCAACATGCTCGTAATCACAGCAATCATCAAAATGCGATAACTGGGAATCATGCATCGCTAGGTCATAACAATTAGAAGCATCCAAAATATAAAGACTCTCGTAACTTCGTCCTCAAGACCCACCGGTCTCTAGCTCCTTCAAGCTACTTCTACCCATCCCACTATGTTAGTCCTTACAGAAGCTTGGCTTTCGACCTTGTCATTTATCCCCAAGGCCTTCAACTATGACTTTTAATACATCACACCATGTTAGTGCTCCAAATCTAACTCTTCGAATTGTATCGACCCTTGCTATTTATCCCCAAGGTCCCGACACTCCTAAACAGAAGCTTGGTGTTCAACCTTGACATTTATCCCAAGGTTTCGAACTATGCATCGATCCTTGACATTTATCCCTAAGGTCTCGATGACTACTTAGCGTATTGGTCCTTGACCGCCACCACGTCAAGACCCAATACTCATCATCAAATAGACTCATCATGCTGACCCCCGACCTTTTGTACC